CGCCCTGGGGGAGGTGCTGGGCATTCCTGCCTGAACCTGGGTGTATATAATCTTGGGGTCTTGAGACTTCTGGTACCACTCATGGGATCCAGAGGAGGACCAGAACCTCAACTAGACTGGGACCACCACTCTCAACTGGACTGCGACTATCACTCGCACCAACAGGTTCTTCTGCTTCTTTTATTTTTAGGCTCAGGGGGCCCACATGGGGCTCAGCACAGGAGCCAACGAACACCAGTCTTTTCGTGCCCCAGGGTGCTGGGTTATACATCTGGGTTTTTGTGGGTTAAAACCAATTGTTCATCTGTAGAATTGTATTTATTGTATATTTTTCTTAAATTGTAATTCTGATTTATAATCTCTTTTGAGTTGGGTTCATTTCTCCTGCTGATTTACCTTTAAACCAGCACAATAGTTTTAAAGTTTAACTTTGTTTCATTTATCTCCAGGAAAAAGTATTAAATTATTTGTCAGCCACCTTTGATCCAGTTTCCAGCTCAGAAATCTAAACATCTCCATTTGTGCCTTACATCTCTCATATATTCCTCATATTGGTTTATATAAAATTCCTGTATTTTATGCTACTTAAGGCTTCCTTGCTTTTTCAGTATTCCATATTTCTTTGCAGTTTGCAAACATAGACTGAATGAAGGAGAAGTTTAAGTCTTTGAAACAACAGGCAGTGTAGGACTCCTCAATGTTTTTCATTGGCATCAAATATTATATACTTTCTGGAAGAGACTGGATGGAAGTGATCCAGAAAAGTAGAGAGAAAAAAACATATTGAAGCTGACAAAACAATGTTGTCCAAAAAGAAGGGCATTTTGTTAGACAATGATACTACAACCTGTACTTATAGTGAGTCCTAAAGAGTTTCCCTACTTGTGTAATCTCTGAAAAGCTAAAAGGGCATTTAGAGATTACTGATACTGAAATTCAATACATACTAGTAAAAAATGCTGAGCTCTTAAAATCATGATGTTACCTAAAATTACTGGAAATCAGAAAGCATAACTAAAACTCACAGAATAAACTTTATCTACATGCACGCAAACACACTCTTTGACAGGAGGACTGGGACATTTACCTTGAAGCATTATATGTTTATTCCTTTATTCCTATATGCTCCATTAAATGCCTTTATAAGTTACCCTGTCCTACATTTCTGGCCCAACTTGGTGGTCTCTTGAGCAATGGGGTGGAATGTGGGGAGGAAGGGGTTGAAAATGGAAGATTGTTGAGGAGAAAGAAAAATAAGTTGGTTTTAGAATTGTTTTTGCTCAGAGACCAACTTTGCACCTGGGAGATGCTAAAATACTCTGTGTGGGAAATTTCTGGTATTTGTGTTTGCTTTGGGTTGTTTTCTGTCTGCTGAAAGAAATGGAATTCTCTCAAAGAAGTTAACAGAATGTTGATAAAGACTTAAAAACATTCTTTCCCACAGGCCTAGGGGAAGAGAGATAAGAGAGTTCAGAGATTATAAAAACACAGCCTGGTGAAGGATTGCTCTGGGTTAGGCCCTTTGATATGTAAGACAGGGCACAGACCTGTTTGGATTTTTTGCCCCTGCTAAGTTTGGGCTAAGCTTAGCAGTGTATTTGTGTCCTTGAGAATAATGGAATAAATCTACTCTTCACATTTCAGCTGTGGTTCATGGCCATCTTGGTGTTACCTGCACATATTTAGTTTCCAACAATGTCCCTTCCAACCCAAAGCATTCTAGGATCATATGAAATGGTAAATATACAGCATAACTAAAGGAAAAAGTCACTGTAATTTAAAATCTTTATGAAAGTTTCTTAAAATGCACATTGATGTATCATGTATTGTGCTTCTATTTGATATTTTATTCTTATATGGAAAACTCTGCATCACTCACTTTTTGATTTATTAATGGGACAAATTATATTTCCTCCCCTTCTCATGCTAAAATAAACACACTGTCCTGTACTTTCTATGTAACCCTAACATGGCAATACTTGAGAATATTCTTAAACATACACAGTTGAACATGTCTATTGATGAATATTTTTTTTTGTCAGATCAGATCCTAAAAGCCCATAAATCCATATACAGTGTTATATTGACTTAGGCAAATACTGACAAAAAACCCAAAACACAAAGTTGGACACTGTATAATTAAGACCCGCTCCATTGCACACAGCATCCAGTATTAGCTACTATTGACTTCAAGCAGTGTCAAGATACTCAGTACCTTGAAAATTGAGGACAAGTATTTAACAAAGGAACTTGGATTTCCTCCTTTTTTAAATAAATTAAACCTTGGCCTACAAAGATAAAATTTACTACAGTGTTGTAAACAGTGAAGCTGGTAAGAAAAGCAGCAGAATAAGATACCCCCTATATTTCTCAAGCTTTAGAATTATTTATAAATATCACCTGAGTAACCAAATGATACGCTTGACAATGGACTAAGGTAGATTCCACTTCCAAACATTGCACCATGGAGCTGAAACAAAGCAGAGTGACTGTTTAATATTAAATTGATTATCTGGACAAAATAATAATGATAGACACAGATCTTAATGTAGCTAAGCATCTGCCCCACTTCACTAATTTATTGTCATAATAAATGGTGTTCGAAAAAGTCTTTAAAAAGAATCATGCTTTGAATATTCAACTAAGATACCGTATATTCTGGAAAACATGTTCAAATGCCCAAAGATAATTTTACATCATATTTACATATAAAATTGTTGCATTTTCTGTTTTTAAATTTAACGTTACCATGGAGGATGCCACAGAGGGTGTTTCTGTAGATGGCCAAATACATCTTACCTTTAACAAGGCTGAGCAAGTTCAGCATGTGTCTCACATCAAAACCTGTGCAGGAACCACAACCTAAGCCAGACTTTTTGAATCATCATCACCAACAGCTACTTTTCTTTTCTTTAAGGTAAGAAATTAAGAGATGGTGATAACAGTCATATGCTATAGAAAAATTCAGTCACTAGTTCAGCCTGAGTACTGGAGGAATGGGTTCAATCAAGCTTTTGCCTGAGCCAATTCAGACTTGCATATCCCATCATTTTGGCCTGCACTTAAACCACAACGCTATCAGCTCTCTGAAGAGAGTAAAAGGAAGACTTCTTCATTAGTATCACTGCTCCATGTCAGGGATGAAACGAGAGCAAGGCGTAAAAGAGTTAACTGAGATGTTTTGCTCTGTTGAGAAAAGCCCCCCCAACACCTGCTCTGCCTGAACTGCTAAGCAAAACTTGTTCTGTTCTGCTCACTGGACCTAAACCTAAGAAGAATGCTAGAAATGCTATACAATCAACCTAGAGGCTATAAATTTAAACTAGGTAGACATTTGAATAGAAGAAAAGGACTTAGAGCCAAGGGTTTTTGCAAGCTTCAGAAGTTGGGACAAGAACAATAGAAAGGTAAGGAGGTCAAAATGAAGAAGAAGAGAAATAGACCCCCGATTTGAGGCAGAAGGCCAGAACTACCACCACCAAGAGAAGAATTTGGAAAGCACTGCCCCAAACTCTACCCAGACCCATCCTTATTCCTTTCCTCTGATCTAATGACATTACATCATCTCTGCAATGTGACAGAGTTCCCATAGGAATGTGCAATCATGCTCTCACTTCTCCAGATCCTACAATGTTGTATAGGATCCCTGGCGAGTAGATTTTTTTTTCCTGACTGGTTGGTACTGGGGTTAGCAGAATGAAATGGGCTCAGGATATGCCCCAGTTGTGTGAGAGATTAAAAAACTATGACTTGTATGAAAAAGAACTTTACTGCTTTCTCCTTTTCCTAGTATCTCAACCCTGAACAAAAAAATAAGCAGGAACAAAGGGTTTTATTTTAGTAAATTTTAGTGTGTAAATCCTGCTTTCTTGGGAAAGTATCCTACAAAGATGCTAATAAAATCACCCAAACCAGTAAGAGGAATAGCAGAGATTTCCATTCCCTTTTTTTAGTGATTCCTGTTCCCTAATTCTTAGTCAGCACCCTGGGATCCTCCTCCAAGGTATCATGGACCCAGCTCCAGGGAAAGAGCTGTCAAAACCTTGATACTAAAATACATTGAATTAAAATTCTCCAGTCTCTCTGATACTGCCTGCTTTACTCTGCAATAGTGATGTCCAGATGATTCAGTTTGAAAAAACAAAATTAACTTTGCAATAGCTCCCTCCTGGCTAGTAAATCCATATTCCCTTCCCAAGGAAACTAGAGAAGATGCTGTAAACCCAGCTTCTGTAAACCTAGTATGCTCATAGTTGCTATAACATAGACATAGTTTATGTAGGTCTAAATTTTAATTCCTGAGACTACTTTTAAGCAGTACTGAGCTAAGCTTCCTGGAGGTGCTGCTGTGCAATGTAAAATTGAAACACTGATGCCACCTATGGGATTTTTCAGCCATTTTAGTAAACACATTATTTCATTTTAATTGCTTCAGAAAAGTACCTATTCCAAGAAACATGAGCATATTTGAAATCAGCCCTTTTTTCCACCTATATGACTGCCAGAACAACATCCCTTGAAAAGTCATCTAATCTTAATATGTAATCAAATGTGCACAGGTTAGCCAAAGTCTATTTAGTCTACTATTTACCTGCAACCTTGTATTGGAAGCAACAACTAAGCCATTCCTGAGGATGGAATGCCAATTTTCAATGTGTGAACCACTAAAAAAGTGAAAGAGAATGTGTTAAAATCCACAGTGTAAAATGCAAAAGAAATTGGTAATTCTGTAAAACAATAAATTCTCATCTGTAAACCTCAAATGGCAAGAACACAAAAATCGCATGGCATTTTGGTAACCTTTGATTAATACGAATATATGTACTCACTGAAATGCAAAGGTACTTCCATAAAGATTTTTAGCAGCTCGGAAATTGGATTCTTTGACTGGTGGACTGCTCAGAAGCAGGAACTGGTGGGGAGTGTGCATAAACTTTAGTTGCTGTAAAATATGTGTACAAGTGAAAAGAAGTTGATTAACACAAATGGATTGTATTTCCATAATGGTAGTCCTTAAGATACCATATGCTGCTTCACACAATATATGACTGCATCTAAATAACTACATGAACTAAGTTGAAATTGGTCTCATTACCATAGTTTTACCTGAAATCAAACAGTAAAAATGTCCTTCAGTTTATGAAACATATGAACATTTCTGAAACAATTCAGAAGTAAGGTTCAGATTTGAAAGGCTGCATATTACTACGCCCTTAATCAGAGGATCAAAGGCACACATACTCAGAAATTAATCTCAGCACCATCCCTCTAAAATTCTAGAGCTATATTCTTTCTTACAGTGTATTCATAAGTGGATCTCCTTGTACATCATGTCTATGTACAATTTTGTATTAAATATTTGTCTCAGTTTAATGAGACAGAAGTGTTTGCTAAGGAGGGCGCGTTATGAGGAAGACCATGCTCCTGCCTCTAAGCAATTGTAAATCTGAAATTAAGAGGCTTCAGTCAAGGAAATGTGGAGAAAGAAAAAAAATAACAACCCTTTATTGAAGAATATATATGCATAGGTAACACAACAAAAGAAAAAAACAAACAACAATCCTTCACCCCACCAAAAACAATTAAGTACTTTTTGCCTTTTGGAAAAATTCTAACCACAACCAACAGGGGGTGCTGTTGGATCTCTGGAGGGGCGGAAACTGCAGTTGCTCCCTGACGGTCAGCAGGGGGCTACAGCACAAACTGCCCGGAGCTCAGATGCGGCATGCTGAGCTCAGAGAGGGGATGGCCACGCAGATCAATCTGCCTTCCATGGGAGCAAAGAGTGGAGCCGTCTGTACAAAAGGCTTCTGGACACCTGTCGGCTCCTAAGACCCCACTGCAAACTTGGGAGGCACCACCCCCAGAGACTGTAGCATGGGCTAAGTAAGGAGTGCAGAGGAAAACTGAGGAGAAAGGGCTCTAGGGAAGCATCCAGCCGAGATGGCACTTACTTTGATGAAATCCGAGGCAAGTCCAAGCCATGGGCAGGACAGGGCATAAGAGAATGGAGGAGAACTGGGGCCAAAGGCAGCCAGATGACCCAGTCGAAAACTAAATGAACCCCAGGGCTCCCCCTCCACACACACACCTTCTCTGAGCCCGGCAAAAGTAAAAAAGTGCTGTCTCCAGAGGAAAAACCCACCTCCCCCACAGTTGTCCGAAGCAAGTAGTCTGGAATGTGCAACCACTCAACCAGTCCTTTGTGCATATGGGGCTTCGCTCTATTCATCCCTTCCCCCCTCCCTTGCTCAACATCTTTCTTTCACAATGGTAAAGGGAAAAAATTCAAAGCAGAGGTTTTTTTCTTTAAATCAAGAAAACCTATGACAATATTCTATAATGTAAAAAAACAAATAGCAACATTCTTCTCACCCAATATCAGATGACTCCAAGGTAAACACTTGCATTTGAGCAACTCAAATAGGCTTTTTCTGAGCATTATTCCTTTGATCTATTTTAGATATTCACATGATTCTATGAGTCATGGTCTGAAACTGCTGTCTATTAATGGAGCCCACATGATTATTTGAATGTAGACAGATTTGGACAGGAGACTCCCACCTAAAATGCTAATATGAGCCATGAGAAATGAGAAAATAACAAAGAACCCACAGACACTTACCCTATTCACCGGTAGTTTCACAATATGTGATCTATTACTAGAAATGACCCTAAAATAAGAAAGTTAGATGTATTAGTCATGATAACTAAACAGAACTTTTCTTCTTGAGCATGTTTTATCAATGGCCACCACAAAACACTCAGCTGCAGGCCTTTATCAAATGGAAGCAGACCAAACCTTTGATGCCTAAAAATTTTTAGGCATTTTGTAGATTTTAATATAGCTGTATAATTTTCTTTCACTTTAGACACTTTAGACAGTTAGTAAAATATTTTCTCATGGTTTGTGCTACATTCCAATGAATTTCTGTTTAACAATCTTTTCAAGAAAATTGATTTTAGCAAGAACATCCTGTTTGGGACGTGCACCAGGACTGGAATAATAGGATATATTGTAGTCAAAACAAGATAGAGGGCCCAGAACCCTTGGAGAGGCTCCAATGGGGCAGTTCTGAGGGTGGTACCAGGGGCAAAAATGTTTTTCAGGGTGGATGTACCCACTAGATATGGTAATTAGTTAAAGTTATAAAAGTGTGAGAATTCTGTGTGTGTGCCTATGTACTCCGTACACCTGAAAGCTTTCATTTAAGAACTGCTCTCTACCTTATCTATATAATATTGTTTGGAGAGTTTTTTCTTCCATTTTAGGCATTGCCTTGACTACAAATCATATCTGAGGCCATACAAATAAGATGGAGTTCTTTCAGTATTTTCAGAAGGCCCAGATGGGGACCAGAAACAGCCCATAACAAAATGCAGTTGCCAGTGTCAACCCTGACATTAATTCTTAGGGTGAGTTTAGACCAAAATAAACTTGTGAAATGATTATTCATTCAACTTGTTACTTTAATAATTATCATTTCATGTGAATCAATTTTATACCACTGTAGAAGAGGATGTGCAAGTGGATCTTGTTTGTCCATCTGCTTCTTTATTTCCAAGTAAGGTGCCTAGAAGAGAGTAATTATGTTCCTTAGAGTTGAAATAATAAGGTTAAATTTTATATGTTACATTCCCCATCTATTAAAATGAATACATGGGACTCATTATTAGGCTTAAATCATAGTTTTACTGACATTTAGCATTGTGCCATTATAAATGTGTTTTGACAACAAGAAGAATTAATAGAGTAATTACTTTCCCTGGAGTAAAATAATAAGCATATAATTGCCATCAAAATGTGTAAATTACAGCATACATTGGTGACCTTAGGGAGAACAGCAGATGTCTATTTATGATTGGCTCTTCGAATAAGAAATTGGACTGGAACTTCACAAAATTAAGTCTCTTGAAATACCCCAAGATAATCCACTCCAACTTGTTAACTGTTTTATGGTATAAACTGGCAAAATAAAATACTGTATCAACTTATAATCTCTTTGAAAACATTTTTTGATTTCAATCACAGAGCAAAGCATCTCTTTAAAACTCTTCAGTCCAATAATTATTTAAACATTAAAAAAAAAGCAAAATGGTGGTTATTTTTCTTTTAAAAAGACACATTAGGTAACAGAAATATGTTTGTTTTTTTTTAATTTTTAAAAGATGTTAAGAAAAATATCTGAATTTTCATTTTCAATTTATTTTACTGCTCTCTATACACCTCATTCTTCATTTTAGAACCCCAAAGTACTTTATAAATACATATAGAATAAGATTTATAAACCTTTGTGAGGTTATATTTATATAACAGTTGGAAAAGCAAGGTACATGGGAGAGGTTTCAATAATCACTTCTAATCAGCTGGGCTGTTTGGGAAAAGGAAGCATAAGTACGGCTATCAGATTCTGTCCCACTGTGAATATTCCAAGTCCCCAACCATATTTAACTAATCAAGTGTTTTGTTATAACAGAAAGAAATCTATCATTCAGAACACTGTCACAAAATCAATTTCTTTTGCTTTGGAAAAAAAAGACACAGTTTGATATTTGCAGAAGTTGGTGATCATCTTGTTACAATGTTCCCTTTTTCCTGTTATTATCTCTTATTTAAACTTCAAATGATCTGAGTTCTACTTCATCACTGCTGTTATGGATACTCTGGATTTGCTATTTTTACACACATTTTAATACTATTACAGTTCTATCAGAAAGAGATGATACTATTGACTTCCCCACTCATCATAGGCAAGCAATAAAATCATCTCCTAAGTTTTAGAAATGATGATTAGGTTATCTAAAGGTTTTTAAACTCACCTGCGTCATCTCTCTAATAGAGGTGATACTATCCAATGCTTTCATGACTCGGTCATAATTCTTCTTCTGATGTAGCATAAAATAAGCAAATAAATTAAAAGAATATTGGTCTTTGGCTCTACAAAAACATGAATTCTTTGAGTGTTCATAAAACCAAAGTTAAGACCAACGTTCAGCAAACCACTTCTTTCAAATATTTCTAAGCAATAGATTCCTTCCACCTTACACATAGACTCTGTCATTCACAGTCCAGGAAAAGTCCCCGAAAAAATATTATCATGTTAGTTTTTCTTTGAATTTCACTGGAATCTCCAACACTCAACAATGTGACTCACATAAAAAATTAGGCCACTTTTTAAACAAGTATTTGTAACTAAACACAGTGTTTGCCAGTTATTTGGACAATATGCTATTAAGTTAAATAAATGCAATGAAAAAATAGATTCTAAATCAAATACTAAATAAACCGATGTGTTTACTTTGCTAACAGCTCTATAAAACTTCAGAGGCATTTCAGCTTTCCCTCTGCCTCACACTGAGCCTTGTCTACCTTCTCACTGGGAACTGTTACCAGAGGGCTCCACCTTTTTCTGAGCAGATGAGCTTAACAGTCCATCTGTCACCAGTTCCACATGCCATGATGCCTTCAGGAGCATCATTGTTCCCCATCTTTGGGTCTTGTCAACTTCTGCCCTTGGGCTTTCACCTTGCCCATGCTGGCAAGAAGTTGGGAGGAGGTGGTGTGGGCCCTGCCAGCTCAGGAGCTCTCTCCTTTTCTGGTGTGATCCCTTTTCATATTCCCTCATCTGCTTCAAATCCCCACCCTGCCTATCTGCCAGACTAGCTGTCTCCTCATCATCCCTTTTCCAAGATCCTCCTGGCAAGTCTTCCTTCCTGAACGCTACAGAACACACTTGCCCCTTCCTCTGGGAAAGAGCACTGCTAACTGGCCTTTGCTCAGAAAAAGTGAAATGCATCACAATTCAGGATGTCCAAAGTTCTCACTTATGCCCTCGACATGGCTCAAGTGAGCTGTAATAGTTCACAGCTTCTCTAGGGCTTTCCTGAGAGGCAGCATTTGCAGCTTGAGGACCAAATAGTGCAAACACAATTCTTTATTTCGAAACTGATGCTTGTAAAAAACTTGACTGTCATGTCCAACATTTCAGAAAATCACAGAATCAACTAGGTTGGAAAAGACCTCTGAAATCATTGAGTCCAACCTATGACCTAACACCACCTTGTCAACTAGACTATGACACTAAGTGCCACATCCAGTCTCTTCTTTCACATCTCCAGGGATGGTGACTCCACCATCTCCCTGGGCAGCCCATTCCAATGTCCAATCACTATCTCTGTAAAGAACTTCTTCTTAATTTCAAACCTAAGCCTCCCCTGGTGCAGCTTAAGACTGTGCCCTCCTGTCCTACTGCTGGTTCCTGGGAGAAGAGACCAACCCCCACCTGGCTACAAACTCCTTTCAGGGAGTTGTAGAGAGTGATGAGGTCTCCCCTTAGCCTTCTCTTCTCCAGGCTTAACAACCCCAGCTCCCTCAGCCTCTCCTCATAGGACTTGTCTTCAAGTCCCTTCCCCAGACTCGTTGTTCTTCTCTGGACCTGCTCCAGCACCTCAATATCCTTCCTGAAATGAGGGGCCCAGAACTGGACACAATACTTGAGGTGTGGCCTCACCAGTGCTGAGTACAGGGGCAGAATCGCTTCCCTGGTCCTGCTGGCCATACTATGCCTGATGCAGGCTAGGAAGCCATTGGCCTTCCTGGCTACCTGGGCACACTGCTGGCTCATGCTCAACTTCCTGTAAATCAGAACCCCCAGGTCCCTTTGTGCCTGGCTGCTCTCCATCCACTCTGTGCTCAGCCTGTAGCGCTGCAGGGGATTGTTGTGGCCAAAGTGCAGAACCTGGCACTTGGTCTTGTTGAACCTCATTGGATTCAGCCCATCTATCCAACCTGTCCAGGTCACTCTGCAGAGCCCTCCTGCCTTCTAGCAATTTAAAATTCAGTTTAAGGACAGAATTGTTTGTAAAGAGAAAATGAGATGACAGCAATACCCACTTTACGAATAAAAAGATGGACTAGAAATCCCCCATTACATGGTCTGCACCTCTTAATGGCCATTGTATTTGGTGTGGCTGAGGTGGAGTTCATTTTCCCATAGCAGCCCTTACAGTGCTGAGTTTAGCATTGGTAGCTAGAAGGGTGTTGCTAACACACCAGTGTTTTGGCTACTGCTGAGCAATGCTGGCACAGCATCAGCACTGTCTCTCAACATGCTCCCCTGTATTCGTGCTTAATTAGATGCTGCTTATTTTGGTCTGTGTGAGAATCTCTTCTTTTCCTGCCAAGTTATGTGAAAACAAACACTGATAAATGAGAACTTCATCCTTGAAGGAAGCATCTTCTATAAACTGAAATTAATTGGGGCCTCACTATTGGCTGATGACCCTCCAAGGGCATTTGAAGGAGAAAGTGAAGAGGAGGGTGTGGGAAACGGCTGGACTGTATACAGCTTAGGGTTTGAATTTGATCAGTTACAGCTGTGAGCTTGTAAAAGAATGTAAACACCAGGAAGGTGGGAGAGCAGAAAAGGAGGAAGAAAAACTGTAAATAACAGGTGTTGTTGTGAGATATGCCAGCGCATGAAAGGATGATGTCCACCTATCAAAGGATAAGCCTGGACGCGTGGACAGGACCCCATAAACAATGAAATATAACATATGTACACGTGGACAGAGAAAAAGACTATAAAACTAAGCCTGTTGTAAATAAAGTTGTTGTTGCCTGCCAACCAGCTGAGTGTTGTCCGCCACAACTGGTGAACCCGACGTAATTGATTATGAAAGGACCGCGGATCGAGAACAGGGTGGCAGAGCCCAGCAAAGGAAAAGCCGGTGGACCTTAGAGTCAGAGTCCAGTTGAATCTACTACAGACATCTTGGGAGAAGATAAGCTCCTGGGGACATAATGGGAGTGAAAATTACTGCGGAAGAGAAGTAAATTGTGAGTATATTGACTAAAATACTAGAAAAATATGGGATTAAGTACAATCATAGAAATCATAGAATCATAGAATTAACTCGATTGGAAGAGACCTCTGAGATCATCAAGTCCAACCCTTGATCCAGCCCCACTGTGATTGCTAGATCATGGCACTTAGTGCCACATCCAGCCTCTTCTTAAAAACCTCCAGGGACGGTGAATTCACCGCCTCTCTGGGCAGCCCATTCCAATGGCTGATCACTCTCTCTTTAAAGAACTTCTTTCTAATATCCAACCTAAACATCCCCTGACAGAGCTTAAGCCCTTGCCCTCTTGTCCTACTACTGATTGCCTGGGAGAAGAGACTGACCCCCACCTGGCTACAACCTCCCTTTAGGTAGTTGTAGACAGTGATGAGGTCACCCCCGAGCCTCATCATGAATGAGCGCTCTGCACCTTGCTTATTTGGTGCAAAAGGAATGGGGTAGACGCAAATGCTCATACTGCATTTCATATAGACACTTGGGAAAATGCAAGAAAAGTACTTTTTGATGCTGCTACTAAAAGGGACTCTGTAACTCACTATGTTCCGTCTAAGCGGAGCCAAGGAGCGGCACAGTGCCTGCAGAGCTCGTGGTGCAAAGTTCGAGGAAACAGTAGCTCTGTGGGAAGCGCAGGGTTGGAGCAGCGCAAAACGTGCGAAGCAGGGAACAACCGCTGGGTGCGCTACTGCCACAGTGGGACAGCCCGGACACGGGGCTTGTAGCGGCACGGTGTATGGACTGGAGCCAGCGGTGCAGGGTGGCTCTGCGGAGCCAAACTGGAGACAGAGCACGCCAGAGCTGGGGTCACCCGAGACTAGGAACCAAAGCTACCCCCCATTTGTAATGGGTGCTGAAGACAAACCGAGGCAGGGAGGCAGGGCCAGCCAGAGGGCTAGTGAGAAAGCATAGGGAGGCAGAAACCAAGAGCCCCCCCCCCCCCCCCCCCCCCATGCCGCTACAAAGGAGAGCAGTTAACAAGACAATGCCGATTTAAACACGGTCGCTATGACAACCATTCACAACCATTCACTCTACAGAATCTTGCAGAAGCCCGCCCACTGATTCCTGACTCCACAGAAACCTTGCAGATTGCAAGATAACAAACATAGCCCCCAAAAGAGTGTTTATATTAACTTTGAACTTGAAGAATGTTTATAAAAGAATTATATGTTTTTGAATTTTAAATTGAACAAGAGGTAAAAATATGTTTACAGATTATAATCTCATCAAAACAGTAATTCAAAGAAACATAGAGTAAACATTGCTACTCTAAGGGTGAGAAACAAGAGCGCCAATTTCTCATTTCATAATCATAAAACATAACAAAGACTCAAATGTTTATGTGAGAGTGTGGTGATAGCTATCAAGTGTGAAGAGATTTATGACAAATTGTAAGTCACTTTTGTGGATAGACTTTGAGGAGCTAAATATTTAATATTTAATTAAATATTTAATATTTAAAGCAAATATTTAATGTACCTGCTGTTATAGGTTACCAGCGATGCCTGGAATAAATTAAATAGGCCAATTTGTAATAACAAGTAAATTTATTAGCAAACAATAGGTAAGCAATGCCGGCGCGCCGGAGCAGCCACGGGAACAAAAGGTTCCCGAGCGGCTCACACGCGCAAACTCTCAAACTTCCCTTTTGTATCCCCCTGGGTCCCTTACGTAGTCTTCTGTGCACGCTCAGTGTCCAGTTTTTTTCGCATACATAGTCCTGGGCTGTGTCTTCTGCGCACGCGTAGTTCCGTGGGTCGGGGTCTCATTTGTGGGCTGGGGTCTTCCGTGATGAAGACTATAGTCTTCCTCTGTGTTCGTGAAATGACCCCGTGCTTGGGACATGCACGGTAGTAGGTATTTTCCTCCCTTCCTGGTCTTATCGGCACTCGTTTATCATTTTTGACTCTTTGTTATTTCTAGAAAAGCAGATCTGTACCTCTGGCTTGTAAGATTAGGCTTATCGCCGAGTTCTGCTAGTTATGTTAACAGAGTGTAGTTAATTTATTACAATCCTCACTCTC